CACACACACACGCACATCAGCTTTAAGAATTATTTTGAAATAAATATTTTGGGTAACCAGTTGGAGGAGGACAACGAGACCAGTCGCGAAGCAAAAAACAAAATTGATGGCGTGCCTGTAGGACGTGAGTTGTGAGCCAGCTGTCGGGGGGCTACGATTGCAGTGGCCGTCTTCCCCGTGTCGGAACGCGTCGACAAGCGGTCCACATTTTTCAGGATTCCTTTTTATTTCCGGCGTAGGACAGGGCACCTGGATTTATAACCTGCCTGTTTTGGAAGGTTTTTCATGCTGGGTGACAAGCAAAGTCGCTTGTCAAAAGCTGTAACGTAGGATCACTTAACGTTTTTCCGCCTCACCCGGGAGGCGACAACAGAACTGCTGTTTCAAAGTCCTACCTACGGGAGCTGAGATTGCAAATCTTATTTCCTCGCTTGTGTGAAAGTACTCTCAAACACTCAGTCACAGCATGCTGTGCAGCAAAGTAAGACGGAGAGAGAGAGAGGGGGGGGGACATAAAGGAAAGGTAACGAGTGACTTAGTTCAAGATGCTCAGGCTGCATTCCGTGTAAATTAAACAACGACAAAGAGACTGACAAATGCTGGGATATATTAATGTTATCAATTAGAATCCACCACCGAAACTACAGTTAAAGTAGTTTTGATTCCAAAAAAGTACTTAAGCGGGATCGTAAGATTTATTATTGTGCAGCCTAATCGCAAGATATTTCAGTCAAGTCAGGATGCCGGCTTTTGCACGAGCTTCTTACAACTCTTTTTAAAAGGGGTACTCTGTACAAAATGGCTGCTTATGTAGTATGCACTTAACACATTGATTTTCAATACCCTGTCTGGCTATGATCTATGTTTATGACACGTTATTACGGTGCTCAACATATGGTAGCTTGAAAGTTTGTCAGTTGGCGGGAAAGCCCATCCGTCTAAGGTTGCAGTTGCTCCACTTTAATGTGTCCTTAGGATAGCGTCCACTCATAGGTGTTAAAGGTGAGTGATGCCCGACTCACGGGGTTGGGAGACCAGTGAATCTCTGCCACAAGTTGACAAACTGGTTCACCCCCTGGCTTCTTAAGAGAGAGATAGAGGGGGATGGTAGTTCAGCTTGCGATCGCTTTTGTAGAAAGCGATAGTAGTCGTCGATAACAACAAAATCTGAAAGTCAGG